GGGGCGATATGCTGACTCTGTAAACCGCTTAGAGAGGGCTGAAAGCCCTATGAAGCGGTATATAAGTCTAACTGCTATTGCTATTGCTAACTGTCCCCTAGTCAGTGATTTTCCATGGCAGAGTGTGTAAACACCCTGGGTCTTTCCAATCTTAGCCTAACATCTTAACTGCTACGTAACAGTGGCTGGATTAGGCATCTTCATGTGGTTCCTGCAAAGCTAGATTAAAAAAAAAAATCAGTTTAGAACTGGATGTGATTGACCATCTGGCAAAACTAGCCTGCTGTTTCATTCACTGAAAACTAGGACTAAACTAGGAATTTGGACTAAAGGCAGATTTAAATTCTTTTGACCAACTAGCACAGGGGTGTCGATTTCATTGAAGGCCGCATCAGGGTTGTGTTTTACCTCAGGGAGCCAGGGGGTGGGGGTGGGGGGGGCTGACCAGGATGGGTGTGGCCAGCTCATTGTCACTCATGTCAGGGGTGCCTGTGGTGGCCCGAGTGCTCTGCCAGCAAAAACAGAGCTATTGAGGGCCATACGTGGCCCTCCTGAGCTCCGTATTCACTGGCGAGACACCATGGGGTGGTCTTTTGCTGTTAACAGGATGGCCCTGTGGGCCAGATCTAAGCACCCTGCAGGCCTTGAGTTTGACATCCCTGAACTAGCACATAACAGAATTAGGCTAAGCAGCATTGGATCTCCTTAGTATTTGGATTGTAGACCACCATGAAATAAGTGTGTTGTAGACTAAATTAGAATGTTAAAAATTATTAAACCCTCTGAAGAAAGAAATGGCAGAATATTTCCATGCTTTGCCAGAAAAGCCTTCCTGAAGACGTGTCTATGAAGTCACTACGTAGGAGTTGAATTTGACTTAAATAAAACTTTGTATCTGAAAAATTCCTATAAGTGGAAAATGTGCCTGTTGTTTGAGGCAGTGGAACCCACATATCTCTTTAATTTCTCTGAATTATGAACATATTTCATATCATCCCATTGGATTTGCCAATACAGTAGAGTATAATCCCACAAATGAGCTGGGAAGTGTTCATTGTTGCATTAGATTTGTGTTAGCTGAAATCAAGTCACTCCAGTTAAATAGTAAGGCAATCAATCATTGTTTTTGCCAGCAGTAACATCTCTCTTTTATCTGTTTTAAATATAGTTACTGAATGCTCATCTGCTTTCAGAACACAAGCTAAATGTTCAATTAATTGCTTTGTCTCATTTGATCAAATATTTTAATATGCTTTATTGTAACATTGAGAGGTAGGTCAATGTCAGACCAAGATCATTCACCTTTTGCTTTTCTAGGAGATTGTCACAAAAATCTTGTTTCACAACTGAAATTTTGCAACTCCAGGAAAATTCAGGAGTGAATTCAGGCAAACAGACAGAAGAAAAGAAAACCCATACACTGACATCTGCTTATTTTCCATTGTCAAAAATCCAAATCAGCTGTCACTCTCCTGGCTGGTACTAATCAATTCTCCTGGTTGATACAGTTCTTTCGGAATGTCCTGTCTTTTCTCTTGAAAAGGGTGAAAATGGAACTTTCCAGCTGTTCCTGAGAGGTCCTGATGCACCAGCATTCTCAGTGTCACCCAGGCAGATTGTAAACGAAGGCACCGTTCAAGTGATAGTGATAAATTCAAACCTTGTGGATTATGAAACTGCAACTACTATGAGTGTGGAGGTGAGAAAAAGAGAAAGGTGGGAAAGATCCTTTGATCAAAATGTAATCAAAACCAATGTTTTAACATTCTTTCCTCTGAGCACTGAATTACTCCCTAGACAGCTTTACTGTAGGTGAGGTAAGTGAGGAATACTTAGTACATTTGCATCTGTACTCTGCAGATCTCAGACTATGTGGAACTACATGTTCTACTATGAATTGTGCAACCAAATAATCCCTATCCAGCTGCTGCCAAGAATAAGATTACCCCTTCTTCAGAAATGTCAAGAATTTGTTTGTTTGTTTGTTTGTTTGCTGCCCATCTCGCTGTGGGATTATTCTAGATAGCTTACAATAATAAATGTAGATCTGAATTTGGGGAATGGGAAGGAACGCTGAGCCACTAAGCGGAGACTTAAGTCCTGAGAAAGAAGAAAGCATAAGAAAAGAACTCAAAACAATTCTGCTTTGATTCTGTTTGATTTAAGATTGAGCGGAGGGGAAGCGATTGGCTTCTTCAGATTCTTCTATTCTTTTCGGTTACAATTCTATCCAGTTACACAGCATCTCTGTTGTTTCTTGATCTTGCTTAACTCAAAGGGACTAACAGGGGTTAAACAATGTGCATGGGTTCTGATGGCCCTGCCTGTTTCTATCTGATATGGTAAGATTCATCCTGAAGGAAATTTTCTTCTGATTAGGAGTATCTATTATTTATTTATTTACTTATTTCATATTCATTCATTCATTCAATTTCTATGTCACCCCCCTGACTGACATAACCGCGAACGTCAAAAGCGTGCCGACAACACCGCGGCGCTAAAACCGCGATGTCAAAAGTGCGGCCACAACACCGCGCCGACAACAGCGCGCCGACAGAAGCGCGATTTACCTTAAGGTAAGGTTTAGGGTAGGTTTAGGGTAGGTTTAGG